CATCTGCCAGCCCTCTCCCCTCCATCAACCATCCGTCTATTATCTGTATCTATGAGTCTGGTTCTATTTTTTTTGTTTCTTTATTTTTTTTTCTTTAGACTCCATATATAAGTGAAATTATAGGTATTTGTCTTTCTTTATCTGACATATTTCGCAGAGCATAATACCCATGCTGTCACAAAAGGTAAGATTTCATTGTATTTTTGTTTTTTATGACCGAGTAGTATTCCATTATGCATCTGCACCACAACTTTTTATCCACTGATCTACTGATGGGCGCTTTGGGTTGCTTCCACATCTTGCCTATTGTAAATAATGCAGTTTACAGTTTTTCTGCATGTGAAATAATGACATTTATTTAAGAAATATACTAAGTTTTTAAATGACTGAGGTCCCCCAAAGAAGATAGGACATTAGAAATTGCCTAATCCAATATACAGTATATTCATGTATTCATTGATTCAATGAATATGTTCGTATTCTGCAAGTGGATGGAGGTGGAGGAAACATTAAATGCTCCTGGTACATCAGAAGCTCACAGTGTATCAGGGCAGTGATTTTTAACTGGACAGAGAAACTCTGCATGTGAGCTCTTTCACTGTTTCTGTCCCCTCTTTGCTGAATGATTGAATGAAAGATGAGCTAACTTTTGGTATTTTTAAAAAATATTTTTATTGACTTTTAGAGAGAGAGGGAGGGAGAGGGAGAGAGAAAGAGAAACATCGATGTGAGAGCAGAACATCTATGATCGGCTGCCTCCTGCTCAACCCCACCTGGGATGAAGCCTGCAATCCAGCCATGTGCCCTGGCGCAGAACCGAACTAGCAACCTTTCGGTGAACAGGATGATGCCCAACCAACTGAGCCACACCTGCCAGGGCTTGATATATTTTAAATCACAGGGAATGTTATTACAAGTGAAGTGAGACAATGTTTTTCTTCCAAGGAAAGAGGAGCCGCGGGAGGGCGGAGCAGAGCTCCCTCTCTGGTGTTAGCAGTGGTCTTAGTGACCCTCCCCCTGGTGTGGCTGGCAGGGGCAGTTATGTGATGCTGCTCTCCAGGTATTTTTAAAGTCGGGCCTTTCCTCATTTATTTGGCTTCCTTCCGCTGAGCTGGATTCAGTCAGGAAATATCATAAGTAGCAGTTCTTCAAACTGTTATTTTTAAACAGTTACTTTTCAACAGTTATATGACAGAACAAGCATTACTGTTGGCAGTAATTTAAAAAACATTAAACACCCTTAAGCAAACATGTACTCACCCTTGCTTATTTCTGTGGAGTCTCCAATGGGAATAAACACCAGAGTTTGGAAGTGGTAACTCTTATGGAGCTAATCTTGGTCCTAAAGCACTCCGTTTTGTAGATCTTAGTAATAGTAGCTACCTTGTATTGTATCCCGGCTCTGAACCTTTGCAAACATTACCTGTTTTTCAGGAATTTTTCAGGCAAGGTATTTGTTATTTTTCCTATAAGCTTCTGAGGCTGAAAGAAGAGAAATTAGAAAGTTGCTAAGCTTGGCGTTAAGACCGTAGTCTTCCTCTTCCTGGGGGCATGCTGTCTGCTAGGACTCAGCATGGTCGAGGGCCATGTGGGGCTCTTGGTTGTGAAAACAGCTTTTCAGATGCCTATCTGTGGTCAGTTGGTCTGCATGGCTGGTGTTTGCTGCTTTCCTCTTTCTTTGTCCTCGTAGTGAAGGTGTAAGCAAGGATGGGCGTGCGTGAATTGGGTGTCTCCACATGGTCTGTGTGTGAGAGAGAGGGAGGAAGGGTGGGAGTTGACACCATAAAACTTCCCTCACGCCAGCAACGGGGATCGTGCAGGCCACTTGCTCCAGTCAGGGCTGACTGTGACTAAAACTTCCTTGCAGCATGAAGCTTCCATGCAAATGTCAGAAAGCCTTGGCCCAGGTAACTGTCAGTTTCCTTATTCAAAACTAGATTTCCTGAATTGTCAGTTATATGGCAGTGATGCTCCTGCTAATCTTAAAACGTTCGAGATGGAGATCGACAGTGCAGAAGTGGCGGCAACTTAAATGGGCAGGTCGAATTCTTGATGAACTCTATAGGAGGTTCATACTTTTCTCTCTTCTTGTTTTTTTAGATTTTTTTTTTATTGATTTCAGAGAGAAAGGGAAAGGGAGAGAGAGATAGAAACATCCATGATGAGAGAAAATCATTGATCGGCTGCTTCCTGCACGCCCCACACTGGGGATCGAGCCCACAACCCCGGGCCCATGTCCTGACCGGGAATCCAACCCTGACCTCCTGGTTCATAGGTTGACACTCAACCACTGAGCCACGCTGGCTGGGCTCTCTCTTGTACTTTTGTCTCCTTGCACACCCACCCCCACTTGTCCTGACCATGTCTTCCTAAGCAGTCTTCTGTGGTAAGATCCTCAAATGCTGGAGCCAATACAAAGAAGAGATATATCACCAAAGCAAGCAATGCGAAGAGTAAGAGTAGCACGGGCCTGTGGAACAGGAGCAGGCCGGCGAAAGAACAGACGGAAAGGGAGCTGTGGGAAGTGCGCAGTGGGATAAAAGGGCTTTCACAGCTGTGTATGGAAAAGGGAGGAGGTGGTTGTGCAGGGTGGTATAATATTAATAGAGACAGAAAGGCCTCAGTGTATTAGCACGTGTTGCTTTCCATCTTCATCAGAGAATGGCCCTGCAAACTAGAAAGTGTGGAATAGTCATTACTGAGAGTGCATTAGAGCCTGAATTCTGAGTTAGGTGGAAAAACTACACAGATCCTTCAGATGCCTAAATCTACATCCCAAGTCACCTGGGATTTTTACCCATGATCTCAAGGTCACATCATGTATTTTGTAAGAAATTACCAGAAAGATGGAGATGGATGAAAGTCCTAATTAAAGGGGAACATTTTTTAGAAGTTAAAGACCTGAAGTAAGATTGATGTTGGTTCTTGGCTGAAGATAAATGACCAACCAGAGGTCTTATATGTGCTTAGCAAAGACTGTGTGGTTGCCAAGAATCAACATGGACACCACTCATAAGCCTTGCCTAGACTCATTTCCTTTAAGGACTGATTTTCTTTTAAACTTATTTTTTTTTGGGGGGGGAGGGATATTAGATTATTTGAATAACAGATTCATAGAGTCACACTTCATGTTTGCTCATTTAGTTCAAATAATGCTACAAACCATCATTTTTGGCAAGCCTAGATTTCAGTAAAGTATTTGAGAAAATCTCTTATAGTAACCTTATGAGGAGATGGAAAGTTAATTGGATGCTAGTATTAGGTTGACTCCTATATTTTGAAAAGTAAACTGAAAATTTGTTGAATAATGAATGACATGGTGTCCTCACAGGGGAATGCTCAGGTAGGCACTGCCATTATCTTTATTTTTTACCTGAGAAAACCCAACTACCCCCAAAAAATCAACAGAAAAGGAATACTTCACTCTCAGATTTGCAAGTAAGAGAGAGCTGGGAGGGTTAGCTGATATAAAAGTAGAGAGGCTAGCCTGGCCGGTGTGGCTCAGTGGTTGAGCTTCGACTTATGAACCTATGAATCATGCAGGAGGCAGCCAATCAGTGATTCTCTCTCATCATTGGTGTTTCTATCTCTCTCTACCTCTCTTTTCCTCTCTGAAATCAATAAAAATATTTTTTTAAAAATAAAGTAGGGGGACTAAAAATTCAAATCATTTTGTGAGTTAACAAGGCAAAGTTTGTTTGTAAACATCAACTCCTAATTGTAAGCCATACAAGATAGGGAAAATGTAATTTTGTAGAAGTTATGGGAATTTTGGAGTTTCAGTTAACCATTTTTTGGTGAATAATATATCTATAAACAAATAAAAGACAAAAGAAACAAAACAACCCTACAGTAGGAAAAATAAAACTTAAAGAATTTTAGGTGGCATTTCATGAATGTAATTATCTGCAGGTGAAATACCAGTTAGCTTTCTTTGTTGTCATTCAACCCAACATTATAAGAATACTCAGTTCTGTGTGGCGTACATACTGTAAGGACATTAAAAAGTTGATGTAGTTTCCAGAACGTGTTGATCAGAGAGGGGAGGGCAATACTTGGATATCATGTCCTAGGGCCATCATGGAAGGAATTGGGAATATTTAACCAATGGAAGACTAAGGGGAGGCATGGTGGTTGCCTTTAAATCTGAAGGTATTTTTTGAACAGGATAGAAAATTTATATTTATTCCATGGGTTGGACAAGGAGCAAAGAACCAACGAAGGTGCAAGGAAACAAAGTGAGCTTACTACAAAGGAAATTAAGAAGTCAGACTGACTGATGGTGTTATGGGAGGCCTTGGAAAGAAATGACCATTACTTTTCTCCAGTGGTAGAGATCAAGTTGGACCTATTGACTTGCATTCTTTCAGGGCCACTCCCAATGTTGCTGTCTCTGAAGTTTCTTTCCCTCTTCAGAACATTTCATTTCTTAATTGTTTTAGACCTCCCAGCACCATACACAGCATCGGGCTATTGTGGGTATTAGTACATTGTGGATGAAAGCGTGGAGCTGGGCAGCGGACAGTCCTGGGCTCTCAGATAACAGCATCCAGCAGAACTAAGAACAACCTGTTTCATTCTCTCCACTATGCTCTTTATTTATTTCTTCTCTGAGTAGCTAACTGTAGAAGAAATCTTGTTCTAAATTGTGTATGAACAAAAGATATTTCGCTGTTTATACCGAGAAAAGCATTTTTTCCCCTGTAATTTGAAGTTTTAATCATAGATACCACTGACATTGAGGCAAAATAGCTTGGTTCACTGGGGAGTGTTTTGAAACTTCTAGAATGATCAGGGAACTGTCAAATCATGGGGAATCAAGTTATTTATGAAGAAAAATTATTATTTTTAAAATTGGAATATTAAAAGAAATAAGTAAATGAAAATGATGCTATCAAAGTTTTAAACAAATGTCTTTTTTTCCAGTAGCAATAGATTTTGAGATGCAGTAGGTTGGATGTCACTGAGTAATATCCCCCTTTGTTATTGTGTTCCATTAGGCTGATTCGAAAGTCATTGATAAGTGGATGGAGGGTGCGAAAGACTTCTTAATGGAAGAGCAGTCTGTCCAGGGAGATGCTGAAGGGCTACAAAGGCAGCTTGACCAATGCTCGGTGAGCCCTGCTGACCTAGGGGACCTGCTGTTATAAATAACATGTTCTTCTTTTCCTTTATTATTTGCGGCTATTATTAACATTGTTAGAATATGATATGACAGTACACTGAGATAAAATATCTTTCATTATAAAGCTTTCTTTGCTTTAGAGTTAATAAAAAGTGACTGATTATTTATATTTTATTTTTGGCCATGGTTATAGAAATTTGGATAGAGAGAACAAGAGCTGCCGTTTTATGCCATGATGACAATCTTAGTGTCATAATTACCAATTGCATATTGCTCTTATTGTGCCACATGGTGGAGCATTAAGAAAAACATACTTAATAGTTGAAATTTCCTGTTAATACTGCATACAGTTTATATTTGGTAAAATCATTAGGCTTCTCTAAATTAATTAAAAGTGCTATTTCCTGCTTAGAGTCAAGTATTTCCAATCTAATTTGGCAGATGTCTATATGAAGCACCCAGGTGAAATCAATTTCTTAAGGCACAATATTTCTGAAGCAGTTAAACTTTTGCGTCCCAAACGTTCGTTCTTACAATATTTGCAGAGATAAAAGCAAACTATAATTATGGCATACACCTCTATGGAAATGAACTCAACAAGGTCTTAATTTATGTGTTCAGGCTTTTGTTAACGAAATAGATACAGTGGAATCATCGCTGAAAGACATGAAGGAAATAGAGACACACCTTCGAAGTTGTCCAGTTGCTGGAATCAAAACCTGGGTGCAGACCAAACTAGTTGACTACCAAACCCAACTGGAGAAATATAGCAGGGAGGTAAGTTTTCTCAACTTTACTGTCTGTGTTTTTCAAGAGGTAGATTCCATTGATAACATTGACTGTTATAGTCCATACAGTCTGAAAACCAGAGAGCATACTAATTGTCCAGTTTGGCTCCTCAGTGGGCATGAGCTTGTTGTGCTTAGTAAAGAACAAGAAAGACACTGCAGCTGGGATTGAGTGAGCAGGGGAGGTAGTGGGCTGGAGAGCGGTGAGATGTGAGGTGGGAAGGGAGTTGGACTGTTTATGGCCTTGGAGACGAAGGTGGGGGATTCTGTTTCAAGGATAACATCACACAGAAGGCAACTTGTAGAGTTTTGAACAGGGAAGTGACATGTGATAGATCTTTTAAGATCACTCTGGATTCATCTGGAAAGGCAAGAGGTCATTGCTGCCTTAAGAGAGAATGGCTCCTGGACTGGGGAGATGATGGTGGAGGCCATGAGAAATGTTAGGTGTGGACTGTGGTTTGTAAGTAGAGATGAGAGTCTAGTAATGGCCTGGAAGTGTGATATAAGAAAAGTGAGCAGTCAAGGACAGGCTAGGAATTTTGCAAAAATGATCACTTTGTGTGAATTGTGGTGCCATTTACTGAAATGGTGGAGACGCAAGGAGCAGAAGCTTTTGTTGGAGCAGGTGACATGATGATTTCCATCTGGAAGGGTTCAAGTCGAGGTCCTTATTAAACATGCAGGTGGAGTTCTTTAGCACTTACCTCTGGAAAGAGGAAGGGGCAGAGGCCAAGGATGCTGAGAAGGGAAGGTTGGCCAGAGGAGAAACGCCAGGAGAGTGTGAGGTCCCGGAGGCCGGTGGAGAAAGCGCCCCACAGAGCCTGGTGCTGGACTTGACAAATGGAGGCTTTTAAAGACCCTGAGAAAGTGACTGTTGAAGTGGTTTGGAAACAGTGACATTGCAGAATGTTGGGGAGAGAACGGGAAGTGAGGAACGGGGACAGCATGTGTAACTAGCTTTGAGACATTTTTCTATTCAAGAGAGCAGAGAAATGAGGTAGGTGATGCCCATAGGCATCCAAGGAGATGTTTTTGTAATTTTTAAAAGTAAGAGATACTATAGGATGTTTGCATGCCGAAAAGAAGGACCTCGCCTAGAAGGAGAAAATAATGATGCAGAAGAGATTGAGGGAACATAATTTCTGAAGTCTGTGATTGTGTGTGAGAGGGAACGAGATTTACTCTCTAAGTGAAAGAATTGCCGATGCAGAGTTTCTCCATGGTAATGGGAGGGAAAGTGACTATTCTGATTGCTTCTCTTTTGTTAGTGAAACAGCAGTGGCGTGAGGAAAGGGTAAAAAATGAGAGGAGAAAATGTGAAATACAGGAATATTTCACAGACAGCCCTGTGGATAGTATATCTCTTAATACAATGTTTTTTGGTTAATGTTTATCTAAAAAGTTTATATTGCATCCTTGAGTATTTTTTTTTATGGTTTCCCCTCAAGTTGCTTGATTTGCATAGGTTTAAACGGAAAGAAAAGTTGAAATAATGGTACAGGGAGCAGCCTCATAATGGTTTCTGAATTTGCCCGTTTTTAATGTTTTACCATGTTTACTTTCTCATTTTCTCCCCTGCTCTCTTACATGCATATATACATACATCTATATTTCTTTTGTTTTTGGTTAAAAATGTACTTTTGACAAGGATTTGGAAATATCATAACACTTCACCCCTCAATGAGGACACTATTACACAAAACCACCACACCATGACCATACTTAAAAAAATATTTTATAATACTTAATAATAAAAGCCTAGGTGGTCCTCACGCCATCGCAAGATGGCTGCGTGCAGGCGGGCGGGGCGGGGCTTGAGGCTGCGCACGAGGGCGCCGGAGGGAAGTTGACCCGGAGGTGCATTGGGGAGCCCCGCAGGGCGCTGGCCGGCCGCTGGGCAGGACTTGGGGGAGTCCCGCAGCCCCGTGGGCTAAACATCAGGGCAGGGGGCACCGCCCCCGGGGAAATGAAATTCAGCTCCGGGGTCGGGATAAACCTGGGGTAGCGGGAGCTGCCCACCCTCCACGTCCACCCCAGCCTGGACCTGGGGTATGAACAGGACAGCAATCCTCCCTGGTCACTGGCTGGACCCCTCCCCTGAGCTTCTCCTTACACAGGAGCAGTGATTTCATTTCCGGACGAGAACTGTGACCTCACTTCCGGACCGTGGAGCCAGCAGAACGTGGAACCGTAGCCAGGCAACCCCGTTCTATAACAGTCCCTACCCCGCTCCCTTGATGGAGAGACTGACTCGCAGACATGTCGTGCTGTGTGCCAAGGTCCCGCGGCGGCGGCCGCTGCTGCCGCTGGCGCCACCTTTGGCCCTTTTCTCGGGGGAAGCGACAGGTAACCCGGGGAGGCCCAGGGCGGCTTTCTTAGAGCCAGGCCGCCTCGCTCACCCGCCTCGCCAGCCCCCTGTGCCCTGGGGCGCCGGCCCTGCGGGGCTGTGGCACTCCGGGACTCAGGGCTGCCCGCGGTGCTGGTGGGGTCCCCGGCCTCACACAGTTTCACGCGTTGAGTCACTAGTCATCTAATAATTTAGCCAAATTCAGATTTCTCAAAGTGTGCTACAATCTGTTGCTATATGCTTGAGTGGGGTTTTTGGGGTAGTAAATAAGGAAAATGGTTTCGAAGTGGCAGTGAGAAGCCAGGAAGGTGATGGATACATACAGACAGATACAGACATAGACGTTCAGATCTATATCCGTCTCTCTTTCCATATCCACATGTATCCATGCACACATATGACAATATGGAATTAGTTGTGAATTATTGCTGGTTCAAAACATGGGATTGAATATGGGGAACGTGGTTCAGTGTCCTCAGCAGGAGGCAACCCTCCAGACTATTGCATTTCATTGAGTCGTAAAAAGGTTGAAGAAGTTTGAGATAAACATAATGCTGCCAAATATTTATTTTGCTAAGAAGGGACAGGCATATGAAATCAATCAACAAGCAAAAACCAGTCCATGCCATCTATTCGACCTAGCCAGGATCTCATGAAAGGAAGCACACTATGATGCCAGATATTAGAAAATTTATAATTTCAGGGGAGTTAATTACAATTTTGAGCTTTGCTTTTTCTGAAAAGTTTGCTAGTGTCTCTCTCTCTTGTTTTTTTTTTGAATTTCTTTATAGATCCATGAAAATTATATGACTAACTAGTGTCCAGAAACTAGCAAAGAGAATGTTTTGGAAGTGGGGCCCAAGAAGTATGTTTGTGTGTGTGTGTGTGTGTGTGTGTGTGTGAAGCTGAAGCTGATCAGATTAAACTCTTGATCAGCCAGGCCTTGGCCAGGCTCTCAGAGTCCCAGACTGGTGTGAGATCAAAGCTCCTGTTGGACCCCTTTCTATTTTTATGACTGTGATCGGTTGGAGAGTGGAGACAGGAAAGCCACTAAACCATGCCCTTTACTCTCAGGAGAGCCATCTCTTCCTGTCCTGGCCTTTGGTCACTATCGGCTGTGCAGCCAAGCAGCCCTGGCAGGTGGCGCTGTCGTGAGATTGAACTGGAGGGGGAGGGTGAATAGCGAGTGAGCATGGTCTCTGTGGACGGTATCTCTCCCCTAGTAGTGAGTTTGCAGTAAGAGGGAGGAGTTCTTAGGAAGCATTTTAGGTTTCTCTGAAATGTTGAAGTTATTGAACCAGGTTGAGAAAAAACCCCTATTTTCTCATGTAACATTGTGTGTCTCTGTGGAATATACAAGTATAATCAATTATCAAAACCAAAATTTTCTAGAGCAGTATTTTATGAACATTGTTAATAATAGCCTCCTCTTCTATGATTTTAAAATTGAAATAATTACAGCAAATTTTGTTAAAAAGGAGAAAATGGATATTTTGGTTGCATTTAGGTTTTTTGTTCCCTACAATAAACAATGCTACAGTAAAATTTCTTGTAACATGTGCTTTTATTGCTGTAGGTTAGGTTCCTTCATTTGGGAAGTTATGCATTTTTAAAATTATAATAAACTAGAGGCCCGATGCACAAAATTCGTGCAAGAGTAGGCCTTCCTTCTCCTGGCTGCTGGCACCGGCTTCCCTCTGGCATCTGGTACCTGGGCTTCCCTCACAGCCCGGCTTTGTCAGGAAGGTTGTCTGGCAGGATGTCCAGAAGGATGTGTGGCCTAATTAGCATATTATGCTTTTATTATTATAGATATGTCCAGATTAGATTAATATCCAAAATGTGAACTAGAAACACAGATATCATTATTGTTTTTATTATTGCTTATATTTTCACAGCATCAGCAGAAAGTGTGTAGAGGCTTTTATCTGAATTTTAACTGCCAGGGTCTTTGTGGAGAGTTTCCACTTTGTCATTAGCTATTAGAAAGTTGACATTTACTGTATTAATACTTGTTTATTTGGCTAAATGGCTTTTCTTATCTATATTTCTTTTCAGAAAAATAGGTTGTCTGAAAGACAGGAAAAAGTGGTGAACCTGAAGAAAGACTTGTCAGAGATGCAGGAATGGCTGACTCAAGAGGAAGAAGAATACCTGGAGAAAGATTTTGAATACAAGTCACCGGAAGAACTTGCGAGTGCTGTGGAAGAAATGAAGGTGAGGCTGGGACAGTCAATGTCAGCAGACTTTATCTCTCCCTTTAAAGTCAATCAGTCACACAAACAATCATCCATCTGGCTATAAACCATGATTGTGCAATTGACCCTTGAACAACATAGGTTTGAACTGTTAGCGTGCATTTATACACAGAATTTGAAAAATAAATACTGTAAATGTATTTTCTCTTTCCTATGGTTTTCTTCATAACTTCTTTTTCTCTACCTTACATAGAACATACAAAATATGTGTTCATTGATTATGTAATTGGTAAGGCTGTTTATGTTATTGGTCAACAGTAGGCTCTTAGTAGTTAAGTTTTGGGGGAGTCAAAAGTTACTCATGAATTTTGATCCGTTGTGTTGTTCAAGGATCAATGGTACATAATCTTTCATAAGAGGATTTCAAATTAAAAAAAGAGGAAGGGGAGCTGCTGTGATTCTAGTAAGGGAAGGAAGTTCAATGTGGCCCATGAGTTGAATCCATGTAGGGCCCTGAGATGTTTTCTTATATTAGAACCTTGGGGAATCACAGAGAATGAATTAAAAAAATTCAGTGGCATCAATCACATTCACAATGTTGTGCAACCATCACAACTATTTCCAAAAATTTTCAGGAATAATTTTTTTTTCATTAGGAACAAGAAAGACTTCCCAATTTGCTTGGGATTTATCCTTATTTCATCAGATGTGTTCTTCCAGTTACTACATGGGGCACACATGTATATAAGCGGTTTGTTAGAGCAGGTAGAGTTGCAGTAGGAACATTGTCAAGGGATTTAATATAGGCTAGGGCCACAGGATATATTTTCCGTGAACTTATATTCCTCTGTCAATAGTCTTGAACACTTTTTAAAAAAAATTTGATAAAAGAACTGGGCATCATTCCCAAATTTCCAACCTCACTTCAAGTCTCCTTCAGTGTCCAAGCCAAAGGAGATAGTGATTAAAGGCTATTTTAAAAAATAAGATTAAGCAACACATTAAATGTTTTAGGCCAAAGTTAACTTGCCTAAAAGTGTAACTAAAGCAAAAATCTCTGCAGATATATTTTTAAAAGTATTAGATTTTGCCCAGCCTGTATGACTCAGTGGTTGAGTGTCAACCTGTGAACCAGGAGGTCACGGTTCAGTTCCAGGTCAGGGCACATGCCCAGGTTGCAGGCTTGATCCCCAGTAAGGGACTTGCAGGAGGCGGCGAATCAATAATCTCTCTCATTATTGATGTTTCTATCTCTCCCTCTCTGAAATCAATAAAAATATATTTTAAAAAAAGGATTAGATTTCATCCATGCACTATTATATATGACAAAGGACTTTTATTGTACTTGTATTTTCACAGAAACATCTTTCTTAGTGTAGCTTTTTAAAAAATATATATTTTGTAAAAAGCTACACTAAGAAAGATGTTTCTGTGAAAATACAAGTACAATAAAAGGCCTCTGTCATATATAATAGTGCATGGATGAAATCTAATCCTTTTTTTAAAAAATTATATTTTTATTGATGTCAGGGAGGAAGGGGGAGGAAAAGAGAGAGAGAAACATCAATGATGAGAGAGAACCATTGATCGGCTGCCTCCTGCATGCCCCACACTGAGGATCGAGCCCACAACCCAGGCATATGACCTGATTGAGAATGAACCTTGATCTTCTGGTTCATTGGTCAGCACCCAACCATTGGGAACACCAGCCGGGTTAGTGTAGCTTTTTTTTTTTTTTTTTTTAGTCTTTAAAAATATTCAGTATATAAGGTATTTTAAAGGTAGCCTGCCACGTTAAGAACCATCTTGTTTCATTTATTTTCTTTACAGTACTGGCTTTGTAGATTTGTGGTTTATTTAAGTCTCTAGGGATGAGAGTTTAGAAAAATGAGATTTAACACCCTTGATTGGGCAACATTCTATTTTTATTTTTCCAAACAACCATTTGAATTTTAAAAACTCTTAACTATTTTATCCAACCTAGGAAAGTTTAAAACCATTGAGAAATAAAGAAAGCTGAACAAGAAAGTGTAAAGCTGTTTGTGGTTGATTTCCCTGAACGTGAGACTTTATCCTAAGTGCAGAGTGCGAGTCAGGAAAGAACTATTTCTAGATCAGATCTTCCTAGTATAACTTCATCATCTTGGAAACGCTGTTCAGTATCAGAAGGCTAGATATACCGATGTCACAGAGAGAAAAATACATTTGCATAATTTTTAAAGGACATCTCTACCATCGTGCATCTCAACTTTTGTGACCATTTATTCATTTCAGTCTAATATTTTCAGAACTCTAGTGGCTGATTAAAATTAATTCACTTAGATGCTTATCATGGGCCCAGACTTTGAAAATATTTAACGTCAGTAAACATAACTTAAGGATGGCTTACGTGCTAACGTTGCCTGCCTGTTATTAAACGAAAGTGTTTGTGTGGGACTGTACTCATTGGGGCATATAATGAGTGAGATTTTATAGTTAGTATTTTATTTTGTTTTATTATTGTATTTTTTCAAAAAGCAGTCTCTTTAGTGATTACCTAAATAATATTCTAAATTAGGTAGTTGAAATCATGTAGACGTTTTAATTTTGGTTTAGTTATTTTAGGAAAAAGAAAGACATTGGTTAGTGAGAAAGGGGAACAATTTTCATCTCTCTCCTTCCTTGGAACAGAGGGCGAAAGAGGATGTGCTGCAGAAGGAGGTGCGAGTGAAGATTCTGAAGGATAACATCAAGTTAATGGCTAAAAAGGTGCCCTCTAGTGGCCAGGAGTTGACATCTGAGCTGAATGTTGTGCTAGAGAATTACCAGCTTCTTTGCAACAGAATTCGCGGAAAGTGCCACACGCTCGAGGTATGCTATTTGTTCAGGGATGTGTTTCTGAGATTAAAACTTTGTAATGTACTGACCATTTCCATTTCTTGGAAAAACTTCATTTTTTTCCAAATACAGGATCATAATAGGAGACCAAGATCTGCCCTCAATTAAGGTTCTTGGGAAAGTCATTTAACATCTTAAGACTACATTTTTTATATGTGAAATCAACTTTTTCATATCACAGGTGATCTGTAGGCAGATTCTATAGATTCTAGAACAATGTACTGTGAACATCTCTTTTGTTTTTTTCTAGTTAGTGCACAGACAGGAATTGAGGTGTTAAAATTTTTTTATTTAGAGTGGCACCTACAGTTAGAATCACCTGAAAGGAAGCAGAACTTGAATATGCTGGTATTTAACTGGGCATTGGGTTTAAGATGTAGATGATTCTATGAGTTTTTTTTTTATTTAAAATAAAATTGAGTTCTTTCTTATTTGTTTCTATATTAGTGTGACTTTTATGTCATTGAAAACAGTTTAAGAACATTTCAATTTAAATTCAGCTCACCCTCAAATAAACGATCATATTGAAGTATATCCTAAAATGGTAAACAGCACAACTATAATATTTAAACTGAACTCAACCATTACTTGCTTGTTCTGATACTATTTTGTGGTAAAGATAAACATGGGTAATTGAGACTAGTTAATAAGAAAGCTACAACTCAAAACCTCACTCTTTACTATTAACATATTGTCTGATGTAAAATACAGGAGGTTACTCATTTGAGAAATTAAAAATTCTGTAAACACAACATATAGTGTTATGCATGCCTAATCTTATTTCTACTGAATGATCTTGGAATTGAACTTCACTACAGTCTTATGCATGTTTTCTTCTCTGTCATAACCACCCTTGATTTTGCCCTTTTTTCTTTTCCTTTTATTTCTAGCCAAAATAACAACTAACTCTCCCCCCCCTCCTCATATATAATTTTTTTAATTAAAAGATTTTTTAATTTATTTCAGAGCAGAAGGGAGAGAGAGTGAGAGAGATGGAAACATCAGTGATGAGAGATACTCATCAATTGCTGCCTCCTGCATGCCCCACACTGGGGATTGAGCCCACAATGCCCTTACCTGGAATTGAACAGCAACCTCCTGGTTCATAGGTCGATGCTCAACCACTGAGCCATGCCGCCTGGGCTATATAATGAACGGAGTCCCCAAATTATCCTAGGCTAACAAAAGGCCACCATATATTGTATCATTTCTTCAAGCTGTCTTTATGATCTAGAGGTGACAATTTTATAATAAGGAATGAGGGTTTGGAATTGCTTTGAGAATTACTTTTATAGTTACTTTGAAATTAGTTTGAGAGAAGAGAAGGAAAATGCAAAAAAAAGATATAGGTAAAAGAGAAAAAATAAGGCCTTGATATTTTAAAAATGGTAAATGAAAAAGAAGAAAAAAGGGATTTAAAAGTGGAATTATTTTAAAATTATGTCAGCAATTACCAAGGAATATTGGGCAGAAACAGACCAAATTTCTAAATTGGAGTGAGAATGCCCTTCTTAGAGGAATCCAGATGTATCACCTGGATTATTTTTAGGCTCCTTAAAAATATATGAAATCAGGAACTAGTTCAGATTTACAGAAGAATAGAGGTAATACTATTAATACATCTTTTAACTATAACTAATGTTAACTTTTTGCCATATTTTCCCAGATCTCGTTTTTAAAATAAAGTACATTAGTATAGTGGAACCTGTTTTCTTCTTTTCCATCCCATCTCATTTCTCTCTTGAAGTAATCATCACCCAGAAGCTGGCAT